TTGTAACCCACAGCGAGCATTTGGGGTGAGCTGGAGCCCAGTCCCAGGATGTAGCGGTCGCAGATTCAGCGCGCCTGCTACACGTCAAAGAACAAGCCAGAGGGGCAGTGCACTCCCATACAGCGTTTTTTTTTTTTTTTACCTCTGTGTACACCAAGTTCGTCCAGCAGAATATTGCAGGCCAAAGTTCAGGTCCACAGTCTTCCGTGGTGAAGTTCAGCAGGGCTTCTTCACTTGCAATCCAAGTTCGTCGTGCAGCAGAATATTGTAGGCCAAAGTTTCAGGTCCACAGTCTTCAGAGGTAAATTCCAGCAGGGCTTCTTCGCTTGCAATCCGAGCCAGCAGGGTTTCGCACAGACAGTACTTGCATTGTCTTTTTGATCCAGTGAAACTAGGTGAAGCTGAGCGAAGTGGAAAAACACATATCAGTTAGGGCGATCAGACAGAGCCATGGCTGGAAAGCTCAGCAGGTTAGGGTAGCCTTACCCTCTGCAGGGATGCAAGGAGTAATGCAGCGATCCTGGACCTAGATTACCCTAAGGAGCATTAAATGAGGGTAAGTGTAGGGGACTGGGGTACACTAAAGTACGGCAGAGGAAGATTAAGGACCCAATAAATAGTGAAAGTCAGAAAGTGTCCCCCTCACCTGACAGTGATGATCGCATTTGTGAGGGCATCGGCCATCATCTTCATCCATCCATCCATCCTGCAAATTCATCTGCATTCCTTCACTCAAATGCAAATTCACGCTGCACACGAATTATTGTGGCTGACCCGGGTACTGCAGGCATGCAGACGAAACAGGAAGAAAAACACTGAGATTTGCAATACTGTTTCAGTCTGCATTATCAGCCATTTTTGTGAAACGGGGTCACCTCACTACCGCAAATTTGGAGAGCAGGGATCAGGTAATGAGAGGGAGTAGCGGGCAGGGAATTTGCAGAAGTTGAGGTTATCCTGCCATCATCAGTCAACCTGGTGCACAATCACACTTCCCTGAAGTTGTAGTCCTCCCTCAGATGGAGGGTGTTCCAAGACATGAAACGACTCACTAATTTGAGTTTGCCGCGGCTTCTTCTTAACGGGGGGTTCAGTCGGGGCTTCAAAGGAGCAGTTAGACTCATCAGGAAGGGGAAACCCTAAATCACATAGTTCATTTCTCAAGCAGGGGCTCAAGGAGTGTGTCTGGGCTACAGACCATGCAAGCAGGACTACTCTGTCACCCCCTTCCCATGGAATCGTAGAGTGCAATCGTTCTCGGCTATTGAAGACAAAAGGTGCAACAGAAGTGTCATGAACGAAACCCCTAATCTTAGATCCCAAATGCTCAACGGTCACGTCACCGCGTGGGTCTTCTAACCAAATTCCACCCCCTCTCACCTTGGACAGAAGTTGGAAACAAGTGCCATACGGGGCATTTTTGCAATCACGGTGAGGTCCTAAACTCAATCCTTCACGAACTGCACACGTGGTAAACTTAAAGTACGGAACATGGTGCTTCAGATACAGGAGGATTGATTGAAGGAACTGCGGGTGCGTGAGGGTTCCTTGTGCAGCTACCGTCGACGACCTGGGGCTTGCACCAAAGTAGATAACTTTAGGGCTTGAGGACGAAGCAGGCTCCGAGCTTTTAAGGTGAAGTTTGAAGTGGGGCGGTATGTTCCTCCAAGCCTGAAG